TATTAGGGAAATACCAGTATTTAACCAGTTTGACCATTGGAAAAAATACAACGATGAAATTAAAATAGATGAGCTCCATGAATTAACTTTATATTATGTTGAAACTATAGATACAAATGTAAGACCGTTAAAAACAACAATGGACAGCATTAAGGAACTAATAGAGAAAAATCAACACACCAAGCAGATGATATATTCTATTGCATATAGTAAAGGTATTGACGTTGCTACTTATATAGAAATTTCGTAAAACACATGATTTAAGTTTGTTTTTAAATCCTGATGAATTAAAACAAGCAATTAGAAACATTGTAATAAGTGGTAATCACAACTTATTTTTCAACAAAAAATATAATCTAGTATATGGCAAGTTTTTAAAGGAATTCATCAATGAGAATAAGACACACAAAATCAATATTTTATATTATAAACAACCTTCATTTATTCATAAGGTTGAATATACAAATATTATTAATGAACTTTTACAAACAAATATAGATGAACATGACGAAGCATTAGATAAACTAATTAAAAAGTTAATAGCAAATGTAAATTTTGGATTATTAGAAAAAGGAGGTGCTACAGCACATCAAAGTATTTTATTTAAAAGTATTGATGAAGCAGTCCATTATCAAACAGAATACGGAGGTAAAATTAATAAGTTATCGCATATTATAAGCGAATATCCCGAAATGATAACCGAATATGACGACGAAGGAGGCGCAACTACAACATATTATGGATTTGATGAGGATGAATGGGATGTAAAAGCATCATATTATATATTGAATTTGAAGGATAAGGCAGTATTAAAAAACGGATATCGATATATTAAAGAATTACTTTTACAACATCACAATTTTAAAATGAACCAAGACTTTAAGACACTAATAACTAATAATATTAATATATATAGTGTAAAAACAGATGCTTTTGTAATTGATACATGCAATGAAGAAAAAACAAAGCAATTATTAGAATTTCATGATGATATAGGAGGTTGGAAAGTTTCAAAGCAGAGAGATGAAATTAATTTACCTACAGTAAAATTTAACGTTGTAAATAATGAATTAATAAAAATACCAGCTTATGAAAGTAAAACTATTGATATTAAAGATGAATACGACACTGATAACATTATAGAGATTGTTAAACAGAATAATCCTATTATGATCAGAGGTGAACTACCGGGCACAGGAAAATCATATATATGTCAAAAAATGGTTGATAAAAATTATAAGGTAATTTTTATTTGTCCTACTAATAAACTATTACAGGCATTTGAAGGAGAAGCAATGACGATAAATAAATTCTTTGGTATTAATTATGGAGATGCTAAATTAGAACCATTTGATTTTACAGAATTTGATGTAATAGTATTTGATGAAATCTATTTTAGTAATTTAAATATATACTGGAGAATAAAACAATTTGTAGAACAGAATAAGCGCAACAAAATTATAATAGCAACAGGAGACACCAAGCAATTAAAACCAGTGCAAGAAATAACAAATACTCAAGACTATGAATTATACACTGACAATATTATAGATAATATTTTTACACATAATATAATATTGAAAGAATGTAAGAGACTTAACACACAGGAAGATAAGGATAAACTCAAGAATATAAAATATGATATTTTTATTAATAAATTACCAATTAAAACTATTATTGAAAAATATTTTGAATACACCACAGACATAAGTAGTTCCAAAAACAACATAGCATTTTTGAATACAACTTGTAAAAATGTATCAAATGAAATTAGAAAATTAGAAAATAGAAAAGATGAATATGAAGTAGGAGAATTTTTAATTTGTAGAGAATATACTAAAACTAAAACATCAGTTTTTAATGTAAATTTCAAATATAAAATAGTTCATATTGGAAGTGATGGAATATTTACATTAAAAAATGTAAAAACCGAAATTTTACAATCCGTAGAAGTTGCTAAAATAAGAAGCAATTTTATATTTTCTTCTTGCTCTACATGTCATTCTACTCAAGGTAGTAGCATTGATGACACCATAACAATTTTTGATTATAATCATTTTTTGGTAAAGAATTATCCAGAATGGATTTTTACAGCGGTAACACGTGCTCGTGATTTAAACAAAGTCAAATTTTATAAATACACAAAGGATGTTGATGATGTATTTAATCAAAAATGTATTATGAGTTATTTTGAAAGGAAAATTTTGAATTATAAGGAACAAGACAGGAAAGCAAAAAGAAGCATACCTAGAGAAGGTTATGTAAATACTCAATGGTTTCTAGATAATATAAATAATCAATGTAATTACTGCGGATGTGGTTCTACTATTGATATGAAAAATGGTAATATCATTACAAATCTAACAGCACAACGAAAAGATAATGAATTAACTCATACAATAGAAAATATCATCCCATTTTGTAAATTATGCAATTGTAGTTGTAAATGATGATAATTTTTAATTTAATTATGATAATATAATTATAATTTTAATTTATTAATTTAATTTTAATTTAAAATTAAAATTCTTGTAAAAAGTATTTAAAGAAATATTTTATAATACTATTATATAGTGTGATGAGTGATACAGTCCACGATGCTAAAAATATATTGAAAAAAAGGTTTATGAGTTATAAATGCAAAGACTGCGAAATGCTAAAATTACCAATTGAACAGGGTTTTACAAATGGCGATTGTAATTATATTTGTCAATATATGATATGCAATAATTGTAATAGAATTATAAACAAAATTGATGATATGAATAACAAAGATATTGATAATAGAAATAATGAAACTATTGATGATGATTTAGAAATATTTGTGTTTATTGAAATGAATAATTTCTTAACTATAGAAGGGTTTGATAATTTATTATATGAGGGCGATGATGAAGGAAACGCTAATGACTTTATTTTTAAGTATTATAGCATGGTAAAAAGATTATACAATATGTCTTCTAGCATTAAACGTTTAAAATATGAAACATTGAATGATAATGACCTTGATTTTTTACATGAGGTTTTAAATGATCGGTATAAAACTCACGAACTTAGATATACAATAACACGTGCAATTGGAATAATGGGAATGTTTAGAAAACAAATAAGAAGTAATATTTATAATGAAACAACGTGTGATAAAATAATAGAAAGAATTAAGAAAGAATGGTGCCCGTAAAAAACGAATGAACCAGACCTTGCCCATAATATGTCTACAAAATTTGTGATAAAATTTATTGTATAATAATTTATCATAATTTTTGGAATAATATTTTTTAAATTTATTTTTTTTTATTTTTTTTTGTAAAATTTATTTTTTAAAATTTTGTAAAATTTATTTTTTTTAAATTTTTTAAAATTTATTTTTTTATTTTTTTGTAAAATTTATATTTTAAAATATGGATGAACTTACTAGGAAATTACCTGCTTTAAAATGTTGTTTTTTGAAAATGTGCTTTTTGAGGTGCTGTTTTAAAATGTTGCTAAAAGTGTGGGGGGGGTCCTAGGATTTTTTATAGAAAAAAGATGGGCAAGGTCTGGTCTAACTCTTGTCTCCTGGCATCGACGCGAATGGGAAACCACTGCGCTCAGGGCGGCAAAAGCGTTTCTCCACTTCTAGTCTTTCAAATCATGGACATTGCGTGTGTCAGGCTTCTCTTCTTGGGTGTCGTTTGAAGGGACACCGCCTGGGCGGGAGCCCCATTTGAAGGCCATGTCCTGACAGAGCCGCCGGTGGCCGCAGGTGGCCCTTTCCGAAAGGGTCAGGTGTGACGCCCGCCGTTTTTTTTTGTTTTCTTCTTATTATTCTTTCTCTTGGTTTCTTCTTTTTTGTTCCTTCTCTTTGTAGTTTTTTCTCACCTCCCGCTTTCTTGGTTTCCCCAGTGGCACAAGTTGGGCAAGCAGAACGATGTTCGTTTCTGTTTTCTTTTTTCTTCCTTTTTTTTCCGGATGGAAGCGCTGGCGTATTTTGTCTCCCAACCGCATCATTTCTCACCATTGCAAGCTGAAAGGTGCTCTTTGTTTCGGATGTGGGAAGTGGCTAGCACATGGCTCGCACGGATGCAACGCCAAAGAGAGCCCGGGGTTTTCAAGGAGCGTATCTGGGTAGTGCCTTTTTATTCAAGGTGCTGTTTTTGGGGGGGTGGTAGGGGACATAAACAAGAAACACATTCTCCAAGTTGCTTGAATGATGAGCCGGAGCCATGGGACGGTTGTCCATAGTCTCTGGCCTCGCTAGTCACGAATCGGCTTCCTCTGCAAACAGCGATGAACGTTACCAGTTCAGAGGGGACCATGGGTGTGCGCGAAATTTCGGGATTTGCACTGCAAATGGGCTGGAACCTGCAACAGCCATATACAAATGATGGCTTTCCAACCATTGCCTATGAAGGTCACCTTCTTGATGGGAAGTACGGCGGTTTTGGAAGCCATTTGCAAGTGGTTTTGATCCTTTTGGTTTCCCCTGTTTGGTTTCCCCATTTTTTCCCGTGGCCCCAAAAGGGGTGATATCACCTTTTGCTTCTGGGTCCAAAGTGGGCTGAGTTCAGGTGCCAGGTTCTCCTTTTCTTGGTGGCTCCCAGCCATCCGGTTCCTTAGCTTTTTAGCGTTTGTGTTTAGTGCGGTTTCCTCATTTCGCCCACTAAAAGTTTTTCACTTTTAGCGGGGGATCTGAGGGCAGCCCAGCATCTATTTTCCCCAAGAGGACACGTATGGGAACCCATTTGCCCAGTGCCCTTTTTTCTCCATTTTGTTTGGGGAAGGGTTCCCCTTCAAACTCAACCAACAAAAGGGTTCCTTCCCATGGCCACTGGGCTGAGGGTTTTTGGCTTACCACCCTTTCGCCCACGCGAAGGAAAGGAGTCCAGGCTTAATAGGGGCTTGTTTGGGCTCCCCCCCCAGCCCCCAGGAAGAAAGCCCTTTTTGCCCCCTGGAAATCCACTAGGCATCTGAGAAAGCCGGCACGCTGGACGCTTCGCTCGCTCGCGCGCTGCTGGCAGGACGCTGGACCAGACGCCGGTGCAGGCGCTGGACTGCCACTTCCGCACCCCGCCAGCCGGGGGACCCGGCAACGGCTGTGGGTGGGTGGGTTTGGGGTGGGGGGTGGGGGGGTGGGGGGGTGGGGGGGGGGGTGGGGGGGTGGGGGGTGGTGGGGGGTGGGGGGGTGGTGGGGGGGTGGGGGGGGGTGGGGGAGTGGGGGGGTGGTGGGGTGGGTGGGGGTGGTGGGGGGGGGGGGGGTGGTGGGGGGTGGGGGGTGGTGGGTGGGGTGTGGGGGGGGTGGGGGGTGGGGGGGGGGGGGGTGGGGGGGGTGGTGGGGGGGTGGGGGGGTGGTGGGGGGTGGGTGGGGGGTGGTGGGGGTGGGGGGGTGGGGGGTGGGGGGTGGGGGGGTGGGGGGGTGGGGGGGGGGTGGGGGGGTGGGGGGGTGGGGGGTGGGGGGTGGGGGGGTGGGGGGTGGGGGTGGGGGGGTGGGGGGGTGGGGGGGTGGGGCACGTGTTTCGTTTTTGGAGGGTAGCATGTTTTTTTGGGGAGAACACGAGGAAATCAAAGGACATTGAAAAGGTTTTTGGGAGAACACGGGGAAGGGAAACCAGGCTCCATTTAAGGACATTGTTATTTATTTGAAGCAAACATATGGGATTGATATGAGTTTGATGTCGGTTTGCGGGGCTGTGGGACGTCGGAAGTTTTACCAGGATCACATCTTGAGCGCCTGTCGCTGTGTCGCCAACCCGGCGAAGGTACCAGCAACGCCTCCCACCAGTGGGGAATTCGGTTCGACTGTGCCAAGGGGACAATGTCTCAATTGCGGAACTAGGGCTCAACCCCAAAAGGGCTCCCCGCACGAGACACATGTTGAGTTTGCTTAGTTGATCTATGTGACTTTGGTTTGCTTGATATGTGCGCAATTGTCTTGTTTCATTTGACCTCTTTAATTTTGTTTGACTGTTATTTGCAGCAACACGTGAGAGTCGTCCGAAAGGTCCTTGTATTGAGCTATGAAGGGGAAGACCTTTTGGTCTTAGCGTTGACCTCTGCGAAAGTTTCGCGAAGGGGGTCGCGGAAGTTATTTTTTTGTTCGCGAAAGTTTTGTGTAAGGGTGGATTGCCAACAGGAAGCTGGGATGATGAACCATGTGTATTTGCTGGCAGTGCGCGCAGCATGCCCGCAGATTAAAGTTGGTCGGGGAATGCGCGGGCTGAGCGTTGCCGCAGGAATACGCCGCTGCAAAAGCAACCCCCAGCCAGCAGAAGCCAGCTTGTGGGAAATTTGAAGCTTTCGGGTCAAGGTGAGTGCACCTTTCCAGCCGGATTTTCGCGAATGTTTGGGGTAAGATCCGCGAAAGTTTCGAGAAAGTCGACGGACCTCCCCGCTAGTTTCCGGACATGAGGCCAAAGGTTCCCCCCGTGTGCCGCCGCTCGGCTTGAGAGCTGGAGCTTCGGAAGCGCGCTTCGCGTGCTGCTTTGGAACTGAAAGGTTGCGACTTTCGAGCTGGGACTGCGGAAGTTTACTTCGTGTACTACTTTGTATTGAGAAGTTTTGACTTTCGAGGCAAGGTTGCAGAAGTTTAGTTCGTGTACTACTTTCGTATTGAAAAGTTGCGACTTTCAAGCTGGGCTGCGGAAGTTTACTTTTCGTACTACTTTCGTATTGAAAAGCTGCGACTTCCGAGATGGGGCTGCGAAGTACTTCGTGTACTACTTTTGTGATGAATGTTCTGAAGCCAGCCCCACAAAAGTTCCGCGATGGGGTCGGCGAAAGTTATTTTTCTCGCGAAGATGGCGGTTTCCGAAACAAGGAATTTCAGACAACCGTCACATATATATATATATACATACATATATATATATATACATATATATATATATATTTATATACACATAGTGACAGTAACAAAAGTAACAATAGTAGCAATAACAAGTGGTAATAGTTGTAGTACCAACACTAACTTATATATATATATATATACACACGCCATATACACACACAAATATATATGCACACATGTATGTCTAAACGTGCACCTGCAGGCATATCAATATATGTGACCAACATCCGGCGCACATTCTCGAGGTGAACCGATCCCAGCTGTACCAGTACCTCGACATTGAAGATGAGGCCAAAATGGGTGGTTTCCTTTCTTTGCCCGTTGAACACCCCCAAAGTGTGCCTCCAGAAAAGACAAACCATGTTCACCCAGGGTTTGTCCTTAGATCATCTTTTTCTTTAGGGTCCCAGCAAGCGAAGCGGAGTACAAGGCTTCGCAGCGGGACACTTCCGACAGTCCCAGTCGATGGCTCTGGACAGGTCCACTTTCTGTTCGCGTGGGACATTCTGCAGTCTCCGCCATGTGAAAACGGGGTTTCTGGTTTGAAACATGCTCGGCTTTTGGCCCCCTCGCCGATTTTTTTGGTGTTGCTCTTCTGTTGGGTTGGCCGCCCCAACCTGCCTTTTTGCCGATCCCAAGGCAACCACACCCTGCACCTCGAGCGGAGGTTTCAGCTTCTTGTGGTTGTTGCCACCGCTGTGGGCGGTAAACCCGCAATGGAATCCTCAGTTTGGAAAGCCTTCCGATCATAGAATCCAAGCCATCCGGTGTAGAGGAAACTCGTTTTGGAGACATCCTTTTTGGGTTGCCCGGAGTTGGGTAGGCAGCCCGGATGCTCCAGACATGTGCCCCATGAATCCCCCCTTTTGGGGGACAGATCAGACCCTGATTCTTGAGGCCAACCTTTCTCATCAAAGGAAAAGAAAGAGTTCTTGATGTGGAAATCGGTGCGCAAGTTTGTTGGAGTACAGAGGAGACGCACACGACAACATGGCTAACCCATGCGATTCTTGCACGTTCGTCCAGTCCACCTGAAGCAAGCCGACCGGCATGAAGCTGAGGCAACCTAGGAGTATAATGTTAATTGTGGATTAATAAACCCCTGGTTGATTGATAGGGGGTGTCCCCTTGTAGTGGGGATTCATCACTTTTCAAGGGAACACCCCCCCTAATACTGGGACGGGTTTATTAATCCTGGGTCAACATTAGTTGAGTGTAATGTTGACTCCATATTCATCAACTAACCAGTTTGTTGATACGGGGGTGGCTAACCCCAGAATCGGACACCTCCCTATGAATAAACTGATGTATTCGTGTGGGGTCAACTTTAGCTCCTTCTTTCTAAAAGGCTTCTTTTGACAACCATAAGGTTCCATTAAGTTCTACGCTCTTCCTCAGTGCCACTGATAATTATGGCATGCACATGCATATAGCAAGTCAACACATATGTATATATATATATACAGGTTAAACCACCTATATACATAGAATACTGTTGAACACATACATCTACATAAAATGCATTGTACTGCTACAGATCACGTACATGTGTGCATATACCATATATTCACATGTAGATTTATCTATGTGCGATCACATTCGTACGCACGTTTCAATATTCATCTGCGCGGTCTCGGGCTTTTTTGGGCAGGCGGTGCAGCAGCGGGGGGGCCCGTCTTGGGCAGTTTGTGGGGCTGGCTTCTCTTGAAAGCCAGGTTAAAACATCCCTTCTTGGCCAACTCGCCCATTCTGAGCTTCCTGGCTTCCTCAAAATTCGATATTCTCTTGAAAAAACCTTCCTTTTTGGGCAACGGCTTAAGTTTCCTTTCGGTGGAAGCCTGTTGGTTCGGAACCTCAAGGTGATTTCCTAGCCCGCCTTCAGCAGTGCCCAAGACCCCCTTGGACCTGTGCAACCCTCTAGATTTTTAGGCCGGAAGTTGGAAGGGCCCCCTCAGTCGGATGAACTCCAAAGCGCTTCGCGCACTTCAAGTTGGCGTTTGCTGGCAAGCCCCACCCCCACGTGGGTGATGAGTCAAGACCAGTTCTCGACAGCCGCGAACACGCTGCAGGCAGCATGAAAGTCCGGGCAACCCCCCCCCCCCTGTCAACCCAACATGTTGCACTTATTCAGCCTCTCAGAAGACAAATGACATCATTTCCCGAAATCTTTGTCAGATTGTGGAAAGTTTGAAACATGGGCCGACTTCCGGCTGCTCCAGATATCCCCAACAGACACATCACCCCAATAGAGAAAGCTGGATGAACCTTGGTAATGCGTAAACCACCAAAGAAGGCAAGAATGTTAGATCCTGTGGATTCTCCAAATGACGAGGAGCTTTGTCTCAAATGGGGGGGGCATCCAAAGACCCCTTCTTCTTTGCCAGGGGAATGCAGGAAACTATTCTTGAACGCCTACTTGTCGCGGCGCTTTTCCAACTTTGAGATCTATGGGTTGGACCATCAGCTCAGCGGTTCATTCAGGAGTCTCTGGTTTTCAAAATGAAGAATCTGGGGGTGTATTTCATTTCTCCCCTCATTTCAGAGGTGAACTTGCAAGTGTCGCTACAATCTGGGTGAACTGCGACCTCGCACTGGGCTGCGAGCTCGCGCCCCATAGGTTCCTTTCTTGGGGGGCCCTTTTGCTTGATCGGCGAACTATGAGAAAACATCCAGACGGAGACATTTCCCCCTGCCAGTCCAAGCTCGAGGCTAACACATATATAGCCCATGACTCGTCTCATTTGGCCGCCCTTTCGGGACGTTGCCTTTGGCCGTTTGGGGCAAAGCATGAGACAACTTGATGCTGGGACCTCAGGGCCGACCCTTCGGGACGGTGAGAAGACCTCCATCTCAGCACCTGGATCCATCTTTCCGATCCCGTGGACCCGGCTGCCCGATTTTCCTCAGGCTGCTGAAGTCGTCGGAGGTGCTGGAGGAGTGTTCCTATAAGACCGGGTGGCTGCTGCCCGGCCTGTGACCAGTCGAGCTGTTTTTTGTTTGGCCGGGGGGGGTGGGAGTTTGGGGGAGGGGGGGGCGGGGGGGGGGGAAGTTTAGTTTTAGGAAAGAGTTTTGTGGCAAGAAGTCATCATTTCTCAGCCCATGTGGGCTTCCGGGTATGATGCGTGGTCTGCCAACTCATGAGAGTAAGTCGGCTCCAAATCACAGCGCGATGATGCGCAGCAGTTCCAGCGCAGAAACTCGAGATTCAAGCAGAATGGATGCGTGCAGCAGCCCTGTTTTGCCTTCAACAGAGGAAGTGAAACGGGCTATGTCACCTAGGCCTTGTCTTGAAACGAACAACGGGGCCGCCAGTTTTACACCCGCCCATGTGAAAGTCGGCTGGCAGAACCGATTCGCCCAAAGTTGTGTTTGTTTGTTTTTTGTGATTTTTTGTTTGCTTGTTTTTTCCTCAGCGGCGGGCCGGCAGGTATTGCATTTGCTTGGCAGATTTCTTGTCTCGCAAGAAAGTTGCCAGTCTGGTTGCCGACATTTGAAGAGCGTGTTTCCGTCAGGGTCACACACACACACACTCACGCATACGCACCATGCGCGAGAAGGGACACCTGGTTCATTGGGAAGGTGTTGAAGGCGCCCCAAGTGGTTGGTTTCGTGGCCTCAAAGAATACGGCCCCAAAGGCTACCTAGCGGGTGAGCCACTGCAGCTCACTTGCCAACCTGACTCCAGACCATGCCCGCGGCGGATCTTAAATCTCCTGTCCCGCTGTGGAACTGGCAAGCCAGCGGATCCACTGTGCCATACAAGTTTGTCAAAGGAAGTTTAGAAGGAACTTCCGTACGGACACTAGTTGAAAGCAGAAGAAGAAGCAGCACACGAGGAAAACTGCGTGAGCGTGTGGCGGGGGGAATGGACATGTCCAAAAAAGCGCAGCCCTTTGAGGGCTTCAGTTCCTTCGGATGATGGCAAGCTAGCGGGGTCGCGACGGAGTGCTCTCGGAGCGCGTTCGGGGCGAGTTCGGACCCAGGCCCAGTGGCAGGGACCCACGTGCTTTTCGCGACATCAGTTGGCGCGGCGCGCACTTTGTGGGATTTGGCGCAGCACTCTGGCAGCCCGAAGTGTAGATTTCGTGGTAGAACATGCTTCCCAGCAACGCTTTTCAGTTGGACTCCGGGCGTCCATCCGAGGCCACAGCAGACCTTGGAGAATATTCGCGAGCGTATGGCCGTCAAGGCCCGAAGAGCCGCTTTGGGCAAAGGCTGGTGACATGTGCCATGGTCAGGGGAAGTAATTACCAGGGATGGTCATGGACTACAACCTCAACCTCAAATTCCGAGTGACTGGAAACCCCTCAAATGATCAGTCTTCCACCACCTTTTTGTTTGTTTGTTTGTTTGTTTGCCTGTTTGCCTGTTTGCCTGTTTGTTTGCTTGGAGGTGTTTATCAGTTCAAAGTTGACATGGCAGGGCCAAGTGAGGCATCCTCAGCCCTACCCATGGGACCTGAGGATGTGTTGGGTTGGACCCATGGCCCTTGTCAACAAGTGTTGATCGATTTGGAGCTCCGATGAGTTATTGCGTTGCCCCGTCCCGCCCGGCCCTGCCCCACCCCGCCCCACTCATTTCGTACACCAATGGTTGAAAATTGAAAAGTGATTGCACAGCTAACCGGGTTGGTGGCAATAGTTTCAAAATTTGAGCCACCATCGATTTGAACTGATTCTAGCACTGTTAACAGTGCCTCGCTCTCCCGGAACGCTTGCGGTTCACTTGATTTTAATTTGGTTTTGATGTTGGTTTCCAAATTGGAATGTTCCTCTGGCAAGGGTTCAATGTGTCTTCAATGGTCGGGCTATAGGTGACCGTGGTGCGAAGTAGATACCAATTGCTGGAAATGATGAACTGCTAGCGACGGTCGGTTGCTCTGATGTACGCAGTGCAGGCGACAGCATCATTCTGTGGACGACATAGTTCACACAAATTTGGCTTGCCCTCCAACCACCATTGAATTTGAGCTGCACTCACGTCAGATCCCCCCACTTTTTGGGAGGCTACACAAGGACAACTAATAGGGGCCCCACCGTTTTGAAATTGGTCGATGTATCTTGTGGAAAAAGGGTAATTTTTGACTGAAGCATCACCTTTTGTTTCTGCAACATGAGCTTCCTTTTCGGGCAACCCGTGGATTTTCAACCCTGCTATCTGCACCTTGTCAGAATGTATGAACCTTACATTCAAACCTTTCCTTCGCTTTCAGGAATCCGCATTTATTGTACTGATTTGGAGGGTTTTCTTGTAAAGCTACTGGTGGTTTTCAGATGGGTTGGCTCAAAATAGGGGAACCCCAAATTATGGTTTTCCTTTCGTTCCCCCTTTCAACCAACCCCACAACGGGCAACCACAAAACAAGATGCACACCCGGGTGTCTCGACTCAAGGCGCAGAGTATTCCCACGTTCGCAGGCGGAGCTCCTGCGGCGGTCGCGGCAGCAGCCCGCCCTACAGGAGATCCAGCGATCTGCTGGGATTGGGTGTGTGGGTCAAAGTAGGGGGCGCAAACCTTCCAACGTCGCTGACTAAACTGAGTCGTCGCTGGAAAAACCCTTCACCCTTTTAGGTGTCCTTTTGTAGGTGGGTGAAATGGGGTTGCGGACTTCTGGAAAAGGGGAAATCATGCGGGGCAAGGAAATCCAGGGACGAGTTCTCCCGAGGAAACCGCCAGTTTGCTTCACTTCGATTCGGCTACCAACTCATTCCCTCGACATCCAGGATGCGGCGCCGCCTTTGGCGCTCGAGGACGAGGCCGTTTGATGGAAAGTGGAAAGCCGAAAAGACGGATTTACGTATGGGAAGCTACTCCGCCGGGTGTATCTGGAGGTTTGGGCTTGGCAGGCTGATGTAGGTTTGGTGCAGGCATGCTTTTCTGCACCGCCATTGCCTTGTTTGTGGTTTCCCCTTGAGGGGACCAAGTTCAAAACTGAGTTTGCAACCTTCGCGCAGTGGCCTCTGGACCACTTTCGGGAGGAGGAGGGGTCCGTGCACTGTTATGTTGGGAGGTTCACTTGCAACTCTTGGGGAATGGCACGTGTGTGTCAACCTTGGACTTCCTGCCTCTCGGAGAATTCGGGACCCATGGACCTTTGGGGCTCGTACGAGCTGCATCCAGGGGCAAGACATCTACAAACATTCAGCTCCTACTGTGGGCAAAAGCCATTTCGCACCACCTAAGAACGGCGGATTGGAGTCAAACGTAGGGTTCTGCGGATTCCCGAAATATTGCACGTGAACCAGCCACACGGCAAATTAGAGTCAACCCTCAAACCATAAAGTTCTGCGGATTCCCTAAATATCGCAACCACACGGCAAATTAGAATCAGCCGGGTTTGCCTGGTTCCGCGGCTCCCACCGGTGCCCAGCCCTCCGCCGAAGTGGAGGCGGGGCCAGCTGACTGAGCTTGGGGAGTGACGGGAGGTTTAAGGAGGTGCCCTTGGGGGGGGGTTTGGCTTTGGGAGTTTTCTTTTCTTTTTGGGTGGGTGGGTGGGTGGTGGGGATTGGTGGGGCAGGGCGAGTTTCATGTTTGCTCGAGGGTGGTGGAGTTTCGGCCTTTGCCTCAATTGACGACGGCATGATGATAAAGAATCAATTCCTAGGTTGCAGTTTGAGCGTGCAAGTTCGCCCGTAACTCTGAGATCTCCGGCATACCCTAGGTTGTTTTCCTTGGGGGAGCTATACCCAGACGAATCTTGCGGGGTTCTGAGGATGTGGCTCGAAATTGACCAGCGGACCCGAGAGTTTGGTCTTTCCATTTACCAGGGTTCCATCGTGAAGGCCGATTCTTCCCTTTTTGAGCCCCACCAAGCTGGGAAAAAAAAGAAAAAGAAAGAAAACGGCACGCAGCGGGCGCACGCTGTCCGCCAAACTGCCGAGATGTCGTTGTTTCCAATTGAACATCTCACATTTGCCAGCTCCGACGGATCCTTTTTTTGTTTCCCCCAACCGCTGGAAGCTGTGAAGCTGGTCTCCCAGATAGGCTCTGTGGCTTGGGCCAGGCCAGCTCTGTGGTTTGGGCACGCTTTCAGGAGGGTGGCTGGGGATACCTGGTCTCGTTTTTGATTTAGGAGAATGTTGTTTTGCGGATTGTGAACCCCCAACCGAGCCAAATCGCCAGGCCAAGTCACTAAATCGAGCCCGACCACTCTTTCCGGCAAGTCGCGCGTGCGCTCAGCCAGCTTCGCTCAAGCACCTTAGAACTCCAGCTCTGCCCCCCTCCCTCCGCGATGTTCGCGCGCATGCTGAGACCAGGCAGGGTCCGATCGATTCCTGTAGCCAGGGACTGAGAGGGAATGACCCCCAAAACAAACCCATCCCCAACTTTGGTTTCCTTTGGGGGAATCCCCAAAACCGGCTCATTCCCAACAGCCGGAAGGTCATTCCCCAGCTCTCGCACCAGCAAGATGAAAAAACACATAATTTTGAGCTGTAGTAAAACCAACTCCCTTATGACGAGGTGCCCTGCCTCCTCTTTGGGGGGGGGGTTGTTGACGGGCTGGTGTCGATTGTGGCTGAAAAGGTTGCGCTTTCAGCCTTTGGAGGGCCTGACTCCCTTACTCCCATGAGTCTATCACATCCTCAACCATGACTCACTCGAACCCCCAACTGCACAGTTTATCCTTCAAAGCGCACATCAGTGTCGAAGCCGTTTTTAACTGGCGTCCCTCCATTTCCCTTTGTGGAATCTCCAAAACTAGCAATCGTTTCAATGGAAATCGCTTTTACTCACTCCCCGAGTTCCTGGACTTTAAACACTGGACTTTAAAGCTTTTGGGTTTGGACTCTTTTAGTGGCAACCAACAAGTTTGGAGCTTTTTTGTTTTTCCGCCAGTCCACTCAGGAGGTGAGTTTTTTAAGAGTCAGCTTGCCTCTTGGTTTGGATTGGTTGATTGGTTTCCTATTGATGCTCAAGCAGAGCTTCAAATACCAATTCAAAGCACCAAAGGGTTGCCGGAAACTCGGGGTGCTTTCTTTTCTTGGGCCGTCCACTCGATCAAAAGTGGGCTCCAATGAAGGCTGTCTTTTTTTGGAGTTGGTACCCTTTCCCTTGTGACTGTACAAGGACACCAAAAACCAAAAGCACAACGGCCGTAGGGGTTGGTTCCCCATTCTTTTCAGCCATCGTTCTTTTCAAGCACCAGCCATGTTTTGGGTGATTTTCTAGAAGGAAGGATCCGTGGAAAGAATGGGGAAGCTACCCCTAGAAGAATACCATCACCCAGTATTTGAGACAGGGGTCGATTGGCGCAACGCTGCTTTGAAACCAATCTAGGGACCCCTTAGCTTTGGAGGCTGAAATTGTAGAGTGAAGGTCTCAAGTGACTGCAACCATCCACCAGTCAGCGAGGTGCCTTGGCCTTGCGGCGCATAGCGACCGCACCGCAGGCCGAACCGGGGGAAGGAAATTCCGCCGTGGTGAGCGACCAACCGGGCCATTGGTGTCTTGGTTTTGGTTGGTTTTGGTTGGTTTTGGTTGGTTTGGGTTGGTTTGGGTTGGTTTTGGTTGGGTGTCTGTTGGTTTTGGTGGGTTTCGGTGAGTTTTGGTTTGGTTGTGGTTTTCACGCCCCACAGATTGGCATTTTGATCATGGAAGGCATTCTCCTCTTGAATCTCCGCCTGACCTTGCTTAATATCATGTCCCTTTAGCATTTCTCTCTCGACGCTGCACGAGACTGTCTCTGTGCTTGGCGGGCGCGGCATGCTTGGCATGGCTGCTCAAAGGCAGCGCGCCTGTAACGAGTTCTGAAAACGGCAATGCAAAAATGAAATGGACAGTTAAATTCACTGGATTGGGCCCAGCCAGAACTGCCCCGCGGCGCCGCCCAGCAGGCATTCAACTTGGCGGCACTCATGCCCTGATGCCCAAGCAGGCTGAGCCGTGGATTCACTAGCAGGGCGATTGCTCCAACAGTGTCCAACGCGTGACCTGATGCTGCGCGAGGACCTGCTCAGTGGCACGAAAACAAGAGGATTTAGTAACGGCGAATCTCCTGTCGTGCGGACGAAATCATCATTTGATAGTCCAAACGTTTGCAAGTCGGATTTGCGACAAGGCTGCTCCAAGCCTGCACTCAGTGCCGTGATATTGCCCAAATGGCAACTGGCACAAGAACCCGGGAATTGCAAGTTGCAACTTTTGTGTGTCGTTAGGCTCCACAGAATGGAGGCAACAAGGCAAAGCTCAAAAAAATGCAATGGGTTCTGAGAAGGTTGCTCGGGGCTACTTACACACGTGTGCTAACACCTAGCCCTTTAGCATTTTGGTTCCCTCACCAAAAGCTGGCAAAAAAAAGGAGGCACCAAAACAACGATGGGTCCAATGCCGCACCTTTTTCCCGTGTCAACATCTTGTTTGGACAATCTTTGGGTTTCTCCCTTGACGGCCATGGTCCGTTTTCTTTTGTCCGTTTCTCCCTGTCACTTCCCCCCCCGGTATGGTGGACACTTGGGCTCTATTTTGCAACCTCCTTCTTTTATTGGTTTTTTAGGGCTCTTGGTTGCAAAGTAGACTCTAGGTGTCGATGGCACCGGTATCCCCCCCCGCCTCTCAGCCAGGCGCGGAGCGGAAAGGCGTTGGCCCTCACTTTGAGCGCCGGCGCCGGCGCCGCCATTGGCGCGGCGCAGTTCCAGCCCCTGAGGCGCGCGCCGGAGAGGGCCCACCCCCCTCCCCCTTATATTATGGGGGTTGATCAAAAGGTGCTTTACATGGGATGAACATGGGGGGAAACCACCAAAATGATCATATTTCCCACTCAATGGGAAAGGCTACCCATAGTCATTTGGGTGCCAGGACTACTGATCAACCCCCATATGAGCCACAATCAAAATCCGGGTAGATGAAGGTTAGTAAGGGACGATCCCAGCCATAAATAGCTGCGGCCGCCCTCTTAAATCTTTACATGGTTCTGGGTAGACCATATTGATACCGGGTTTTAATGATGACATACATTTTGATTCCAAAGGGGTCATATGTGGGCTCGTGGCTGAGTTTTGAAGGGCCTAGGAAAATTTCAGCACTTGTCCCAAACTCCGGGGAGAACCTCAACTGTGCCCGTCCCGTGCGGCGAATGAGTGTGATGCCTCGTTGCACGAGCAAAACGGAGATCCTTCCGGATGGCATGTGCCCGGGGCGGCTGAACTGCCAAGAGACGTGGCTTCAGCGCTTCATGCATTTTTCCGTAGAACCCTTCAGCTTCTGAGCATACCGTTGACCCCAAGTGAAAGCGAAGTTCTCATGGGAGGCTGGGGGTCTCTCAAGAAGGCATGTGGGATATCGCTACCATGTCGCCGGGCCGCAGCCTGTCGTTTTTGAGACCCAAAAAGGGCTTTGAAAGGGAAAGGTTCGAAGAGGACACTGCGCACTCTGAGGGTTTCATATTCAGACTCAGCCAGGTTTGTCCTTTCAGGGTGAGCTGCAAGGGCGAGAGTGCTTTTTTGGGGAATCGCGAGGATTCGCTGGGCAAGTTCTGGTCTCATGGGGCTGTCATGGATCGCTAGGGGAAGTCCGCGATAAGCCAAGGAGAAGCCCTCTTTAGGCCTCATTCAGGAGTGGGGGTTGACAAGCGACTTAGCCCCCCCCCAGCCCCCCACCCCCCCCTCCCCATACCAGGGGCTGTTTCCAGCATGGCGCCTTGAGTGAGTCGTCACCGCAGCTCTTCCAGCATTGCTGGCGGGAAGTTTGGGCGCGCGCGGAAAGAGCCGAGGGATAGGATGGGCGAGAAGTGGTTCAGCCATGCAGCTCGTTTTGCCTTCTCCGACACCTGGAAGCTTCCCCAGAATTAGCTCCTTTTTTTGTTTTCTCCTTTTTTGGAGTTTTTTTGCTTTCCACTAACCAGGCCAAAAACATCATTTTTTGCTGGGGTCCTAATTCCAGCCTAGGAAGATGGACCTGCAAGTGGACCGGGGATCGCTGTCGCACATGCCTTGCAGCTACTTTGTCTTGCAAGCCGCCGATGGAATCTTTCCATGTGAGCGGAAGATAGGCGACGATTGGAAATGCTCTCAACAAATGGAAACAACGAATTGCCAGTCACGCTGCTTTTGCCCTTCTCTCCCCCTCTTTCTCTTTCTCATTCTCTTTCTCTATCCCCCTCTACCTCTTCGTCTCTTTCTCCTTCTCTCTCTCCCTTTCTCCAGGCCACGCAAGTGACATGCAGGAATCACCAAGAGGCGAACTCGCGAGCGGAAAAGCGTAGAACCTCCGGTGGACTCCCCAAAGTCCCACGAGCGCGCGCTGGTCCCCAGTTCTCAGAAGCGGCCAGGGCGGCCGCGAGGTTTTCGGAAGCGTGCGGGCAGCGTGCTTGGGAGACAACGCGCAGGGGCATGCAGTCTTAGAATCTGCGGGAGGGCTGGTTGAATGAGTTCCAGTACGGAAGTTCATTCTACACCTCCCTTGATGAAGCAATCCACAACCGCATTCTAAAAAGGCAGGCTCGTGTAGGTGTCATTGGGTCGGTTTCCCCGTTCTCATCCTTGTTTTCGCGCTTCCGAGCCATCTCGCGGAGAAGACTACTTGGGAGTGTGTCCCAAAACGCGAGGTGTTGCCACCCCGGTTTTGAGATGAGTTTAAAGGGGCACCAACAGAACAACCGGCCAGGGTTCTTGGCTGCCTGACTGTAGGAATAGGATTGCCGAACCAAATTTAGAACCAAAGAATGGGCGATTGCACGACACACACACACCCGCTCACACACATTGCATTGCAACCTTTGCTTCCCCTTCTGTTTCCTTGGGTTTCCCCTGAAGCAGCCGCAAAAAACGAGTGCGCTCTCGAGTTGGTGTCCTTTTGGCTTTTCTTGCAAACGGCCCTACAATTACCTTCTACTCTTGCTGGGGTAGGTTTATTCCCGGAGACACAAAAATGACTACCAACTACATTGGGGTCTGAGACAGGCCCAACAAAATCCTCGGTTTTAAATGGCGGATCTGATGGTTGCAAGATCCAGAATTCGCACGCCACCGAACTCGGAAACCCTCGGCTTCTGATCCGATTCGAAACCCAACGTAGCTACCAACACACGTGGGGAACCGACCATGGGCTTCATTTCGCTCTGCCCCGAGCCGGACTTCGCGGACTTCGCTTTTCCGTCCACGAAAGCGGGTTTGGCTCGGCGCCGGGGTTGGTTCGGAGGCCTTGAGAAGAAAGCCCGCGCACCTGTGGACCCCACCAAAAGAGAAGAAGCCAGACGACAAGAAAGGAAGCCACCAAACCAAAGTGGGGAAAAGTCCGAAACACAAAAGTACATGAAACAAGATGGTGTTCCTTTCGTTTCTCCTCAAAGCCACCTCAAGGGTATGAAAAGTAACGTCCAAACCCAAGAAATGGAAACCGACACCTGCCCCAGATCGGATGCCGAGGTTGGGGAGGGTGGTTCTTCAAATTCGACTTCCAGCAGATGCACGTGCCCAGCTGCGAAGACGCCGCCGACCTCTTCATAAGGCGGGATGGTCCCTTCAACGGGGGCGGCTCTCTGTGAGTGTTGGCTTGCTTTAGGGCAGCGAGCTCTAGGGGTTGGCTCTGCAGAACATGATTGGAAATCGCGGCGTTTGAAAGCCAGTTCAGACAAGGAATGCGGCCAGTGGGAACTCCGGATTGAGGGATCCATTAATTGTGTCGTTTCAAAGGCCAAAGGAATGTAACAGAGCATGATATTCCTTTCATGGGACAACAATTAAGGGCCTGTTGGGCTCATAGATGGTTGCCACTTCCCCAAACAAACCAGGAAACATCAAATATTGAAGAAGCTACCACGACACAGCCGCTCACATCTTACGCACCACCGTTCGGGGGTCAGAGGAACCCATCTCACCTACATGAGGGAGGGATGGTCATGAATCCCAGAGCAAATCGGACGAGGACAGTGTTCAAGGGAGCCAGGACCATGCACACCAAGACATTTGCTCCATGAGGATGTGAATAAACACAGTGGTTTATTGCCGTTTTGTTGCCTTTCTGGGGAGAACCTAGCCCAACAAATATGACATTCCTTTGGTTTCCGAACGAACCTGCCAAGGTATTCACGACAGACCAAGGGGTTTCCCTTGAACATCGCTCAAAAAGGTCGTCTCAAACAGACCTTGGTTTTCCTTGACGAACTTCACAGGTCATTTCAATTCGGACGGTGGTTTCCTTTGAACGTGGCATCTCGAACGTATGTAACCCCGCACGAGTCGTCTCAAAGCAGCCTGTTGTTTTCCTGGACAGCAACTCTACAAACGGAAGGTTTTCCTTCAAAGCAACCTCCGGAAAAGGTATGTTCAAAGAAGACGCGGTCTCCTTCGACTCACAAGACAGAGATGGCGATTGGGATGTTCACTGGGGATACAGGGTTTTGACCAACAGCCACATGATACCTGGGCAACGAACTTGTTGAGGGCGGCCGGCGCAAAGATTTGGCATGCACCATCTCTTTTTCGCGCGGGGCTGCTACTTAGCATTCGGGGCGAACCAGTTTCCGAACCAAGTTTCCGTTAACAGGTTTGCCGGGACAACAAAAACCAATCTTTGTATCATGTGACGCGACGCTCCGACGTCGCGCACTCCGGAAACGCAAGCCTCCAAATCTGAAAGCACTGCGTGAAGCACTTCGCTTCCAAACCACGCGATGTCCTCAGATATTTTTCATCTTTGCGCTGGAACTTAGGGGAAGTTATAACTTAGTCGGGGCACTTACAAGTCCTACAAGTGGACTTAACAGTAGGGTTAGCTCGTCCAAGTGTGTGAGCAAGTGCGGTAAGAATTTGTGTTCAACAGTTGTCGGACTTCTAATGGGTCGTTTGGCATTTTTATGTTTTCCCTTTGTTTAAGATTGTCGAGACACGTAAATAATGACGCCCACACAGGACCCCAGCCAGAACTCATGAACACGAGGCTCTGAATTCAGCTCCGGGTTTGTTTCAAAATCAAACGCGTGTGAAGCCGCTCCTTTTTGATTTCCCCAACCCCCGGCCAACGCTTATTTGTTTTCCCCGCCCACCAAAAGCAGTTCTGGTTCCCCCCCCCAAATGCTGTTTGTTTTTCTCCGCCCGACACTTCTGGTTGTCTCCCCCACCCTTCCCTCCTCCCCCCAAAACATTTTTTCTCCGCCCCCCCAAAAATGCAGCAATTGGTGCTCAGTAGGGAATGATGAACCTGGGGATTCCCGAATAAAGGAAATCCCCAAGCCTTTTTTTTCTCTGCCCCAAAAAGCCCGCGGGCGCCCGGGTCATTGCCTCGTGCCCCGTGTGCACCCAACAGGCCGGAGGTGCGGGCGGTGTGGCCGGACGAGGAGCTGCGGCTGCAGCGGTTCCTGAGGCCCGGGGACGCGGTGATCTCGGGGCCCTGCAAGACGGTGGAAACCGACGACGACGCTTTGGCCGGAAAGGATTTTGGCTCGCTGGATTGATTTTTTCTCGGGGTGGCTGGGGCGTTTTCGCTCTTTTTGGCGGGAAAGTGGTGGATCGTTTCTTTTTGGGGCGGTTCTCTTGTTTTGGATTGAAGCCCTTCCTTCTGGGTGGGAAAGCGGTGGCCGTTTTTTTTTTTTGGTGATTGGAACCCTTCCCTTTTTTTGGAAGCCAAGAGATTTCTTCTGGTGGCTGGATCGTTTTCTCTTTGATTGGAACCCTTCCTTTGGGAAAGGCAGCGGCTGGGATGGGCCAATGGGGGGGGGGGGGTTCTTGTGTTGTTTTTTTCTTATATATATATATATTTTAACGCCTCCGGCTCAGGCCGCCGACATTACAGGCCTGCTTTCTTATTTGCGTCCCTTTGGAATTGTCCCCTTGCCCCCTTCCCCTCTAAGATTGTTGCCCTCCTTTCCCTGTTGAGATCCATTCCCCCTTTCCCCCCTAAGGCCCTTTCTCCCTCTGAGATTTTTTCCCTTTTCCTCCCTGAGATGTTTTCCCCCCTCTCCCTGTTGAGATCCTTTCCCCCCTTTCCCCCCCAAGGCCTTTTCCCCCTAAGATCTTCTCCCTTTTCCTCCCTTTCCCCCCCTTTCCCCCTAAGGCCTTTCCCCCGCTGAGATCTTCTCCCTATTCCTCCTTAAGATCCTTTGCCCCCTTTCCCTGTTGAGATCCTTTCCCCCCTTCCCTTTAAGGCCTTTCCAGATCTTCTCCCGTTTCTTTCCTAAGATTGTTTCCCCCCTTTCCCTGTTGAGATCCTTCCCACCCTTTCCCCCCTAAGGCCTTTCCCCCCCCTGAGAGCTTCTCCCTTTTCCTTCCTAAGATCTTTCCCCCCCTTTCCCTGTTGGCCTTTTTTCCCCCAGATCTTCTCCTTTTCCTCCCTAAGATCTTTTCCGTCCCTTTCCCTGTTGAGATCACTTCTCCCCTTTCCCCCCTAAGGCCTTTGCCCCCAGATCTTCTCCCTTTCCTCCCTAAGATCTTTCCCCCCCCTTTCCCTGCTGAGATCCTTTCCCCCCGATCCTTTCCCCCCCCTTTCCCCCCTAAGGCCTGTCCCCCCCAAGATCTTCTCCCTTTTCCATCCTTTGCCCCCTTTCCCTGTTGAGATCCTTTCCCCCCTTTCCCCCCTAAGGCCTTTCCCCCCCTAAGATCTTCTCCCTTTTCCTCCCTTTCCCCCCCTTTCCCCCCTAAGGCCTTTTCCCCCCCTAAAATATTTTCCCTTTCCTTTCTGAGATCTTCCCCCCCCTTTCCCTGTTGAGATCCTTTCCCCCGTTTCCCCCCTAAGGCCTTTCCCCCCGCTGAGATCTTCTCCCTATTCCTCCCTAAGATCCTTTGCCCCCTTTTCCTGTTGAGATCCTTTCCCCCCTTTCCCCTAACACCTTTCCAGATCTTCTCCCTTTGCCTTCCTAAGATTGTTTCCCCCCTTTCCCTGTTGAGATCCTTGCACCCTTTCCCCCCTACGGCCTTTCCCCCCCTGAGTGCTTCTCCCTTTTCCTTCCTAAGATCTTTCCCCCCCTTTCCCTGTTGGCCTTTTTTCCCCCAGATCTTCTCCCTTTCCTCCCAAACATCTTTTCCACCCCTTCCCTGTAGAGATCATTTCTCCCCTTTCCCCCCTAAGGCCTTTTCCCCCAGATCTTCTCCCTTTCCTCCCTAAGATCTTGCTCCCCCTTTAGATCCTTTCCCCCCTTTCCCCCCTAAGGCCTTTGTTTCCCCCCGCGATCTTCCCCCTTTTCCTTCCTAAGATCTTTTCCCCCCTTTCCTTGTTGAGATCCTTTCCCCCTTTCTTTTATAAGGCGTTTTCCCCCCCAAGATCTTCTCCCTTTTTCCTCCCTAAGATCTTTGCCCCCTTTCCCTGTTGAGATCCTTTCCCCCCTTTCCCCCCTAAGGCCTTTCCCTCCCTGAGATCTTCTCCCTTGTCCTCCCCAAGATCTTTTCCCTCGGTTGAGATCCTTTCCCCCTTTCCCCCCGAGATCTTCTCCCTTTTCCTCCCTAGGATCTTCTCCCACCTTTCCCTGTTGAGATCCTTTCCCCCCTTTCCCCCCTAAGGCCTTTCCCCCCCTGAGATCTTCTCCCTTGACCTCCCTGACATCCTTCCCCTCTTTTCCGGTTGAGATCCTTTCCCTCTAAGGCCTTTTCCCCCCAGATCTTCTCCCTTTCCTCAAGATCTTTCCCCCCCTTTCCTCCCTAAGATCTTTCCCACCCTTTCCCTGTTGAGACCCTTTCCCCCCTTTTACTCCGTAAGGCCTTTCTTTTGCTGAGATGTTTCTCCGTTTTCCTCTTTAAGATCCTTCCCCTCTTTTCCGGTTGAGATCCTTTCCCCCCTTTCCCGTCCTTTTGTCCCAGATCTTCTCCCTTTCCTCCCTAAGATCTTCCCCCCCCTTTCCTCCCTAAGATCTTTCCCACCCTTTCCCTGTTGAGATCCTTTCCCCCCTTTCCCTCCTAAGGCCTTTCCCCCCCTGAGAGCTTCTCCCTTTTCCTCCCTAAGATGTTTTCCCCCCTTTGCCTGTTGGGAACCTCTCCCCCCCTTTCCCCCCTAAGGCCTTCCCCCCCCCCCCCGAGATCTTCTCCCTTTGCCTCCCCAAGATCTTTTCCCCCGGTTGAGATCCTTTCCCCCTTTCCCCCCGAGATCTTCTCCCTTTTCCTCCCTAGGATCTTTTCTCCCTGTCCCTGGTGAGATCCTTTCCCCCCCTTTCCCCCCGAAGGCCCTTTCAGATCTTCTCCCTTTTCCTATCTAAGATCATTTGCCCCCTGAGATCTTCCCCCCACCTTTCCCTGTTGAGATCCTTTCACCAGCATGGGCAACATCCCCAGCATCACTTGCATCATCCGCATCCTTGGCAGGCGCTGATGCGGATGATGCAGGTGCTGCTGGCGATGTGCCGCTGGAGCTGCTAAGGATGCGAAAGCGGACCCGGGGGAATCGAACACCCCTATGTTTTTGAAACTGAGTTGCGCAAGCCCGCACAATGAACAGATTTAGTGAAGCGCTTCGAATCACCGCGTGGTACGTCGCAATACTCTGAAATGGTGCCCCTGTGGAGGGGTAAGGGGAGGGGCAACAGGTAAAGAGGTAAGGAGCATTTCTTATGTCCAACACGCCGTCTGTTGTCGGCGGATATTGGGAGTGGTAACTGAACAGTTGGAACCATGGATGCTTTTCTGCACCAGTTGGGTTGAACATAGACGGGTTCCACCGGTTAGTTGGGTTCTTTGCCATTGGTTTGCACCTACTTATTTAACAGAAGGCAGCTAGATTCTCAATCGGGGATGACCCGCACTGTGGATGGACAAAATTCAGTTCGCAGCACTGGGTAGGTTTTCATCCATCCTCACTGGTGCTGCGTGCACACTTTTTGGGCAAGACCATCAACATGTGCAACGCGATGGAATCAAATGGGTGGACAGTTCTGCCACGGCACTTCCAAGCATCTCTACCACGGTGGGGAAAAACACATACTCAAAAAAACGCGTGGCAAGACTCAGCCACAAGAGAGGAACTCGGCTTTCCCGGGTACAAGACAAGTTTCAGCGGATCAGTTTGCTGGTGTCTCTCAGGACTTCCTCGCTCGCTCCGGGGAGCCCCAAACATGGCTTTCCTGTTGGTGCCATCAAGAAAAAGAAGACGGTCCGAACATTGGCGCTCGCATAGCGATCCGGCTGGTTCTTGATCCTTCATGACCATAAGGGTTCCTATTGAGAGAGCCATGACCATAGGCCATATGGGTTTGTCTTTTTTTTAGGGCACCCTTTTTGGGTGGTTTTCAAAATGAAACCCAAGGAGCAGCCGCTTTGTGTGTTTCCTACAATGACGAGCTATGGGAGTATTGACCATGGAATGACCGAGTCCGTGGGAATGAACCGGAAGTCTTGGGATTCCCGAAACCAAATTGGTGGAACCTGGGGATTTGTTGGGAAATCAAATCGGATGCATGGTGTTTCTCGGGGTCAAATTTCACTCATTCCTCTGAACCTAGGACTTCCCTTAAAGGGAAGCCAATTTGGTTTTCTTCGGGGTCGACATCCCTCCCCCAATTCCATTTTAACTTTGCAGAAGCTCCTGTTTCCATTTGAGAAAGACTAGGGCCCCGACCGTCATTCCCTTCAAAGCCCCCGAGCCAGCCCAAGGAGGACGAGTTGTTGGCCCTGCGCCGCTTCGTAGCACTCTTCGGGAATTTGGGCGGGCCTTTCTTCGCGGACTTCGCCCACCGACCGTCGAAGGAGCGTCGCGGCGAGTTTTGGCGACAAAGCGAAAGCGAAAGCGATTGATTCACCAAGGGACGCGTTTTCTAGGGGGGCTTTACTAATCCCGGGTGGATATTACCAGCTCAAAACAACACTTTTCTGTTTAAACCAAGGGGTGGCCTCAAGAAAAGGCGACACCCAGGCGCAAAGTTCATAGGGACCCCTGCGACAGTACTTGCGTTGCAATTCGACGAAACGGCTTCACTTCGAGCCCAGCCATGCGTTTTTAACAGCAACTCCAGTTTGCCCATTTTTGCGTCGGATGGCCGAAAAACGAGGTTGGGGGGAAACACGCGGGTCAACAGGCATTCTTACCTTCCGTTTGGTGTTTTTTTTTTGTTCTTTTTTTCCCACCTTGCAGGTTTTACAGAACATCTACCACTACTGCATCTTGACCATCTTAGTCGGCTGGTCGAAAATTTGAGCCCGGGGGAAACACATGCGCTTGCTTCGACCGCTTCGTTTTTTTCTTTTTTTCGAGGAGCGGGAGGTGCTGCACTGCCGCCAGCAGCGGCGCCGGGACTTCCCGGAGAAAGGCGCGTGGGCCACCTTCTGCCAGAGCAGTCAGCACCCGCGGGAGGCGGGACTTGGGGTGGCAGCCTTGGGCGCCTTTTTGTTTAGGTTGCCTTTATTTATTTGTTTATTCTCTCCTTTGCCTTTATTTATTTGTTTATTATCTATTCTTTTTTTGGGGGGGGGGGGGTTGTTGTTTTTTTCTTCTTATATGTTTTTTTTTGGGGGGTTTTCTTTGCCAGGAAAACCAAAGGGACAAGTTCAGGTTGCGGTTCGTTGGTGGTTTGGATTGGCGGCTTGGATTTGGCTTTGAGGTTCTGGTTCTTGAGGAGGTGAGATGGTGGGTTTCCCCTGGTTGACATGGTGGCTCAAAATTCCAGAGCTGGTCTTCGTCTTTGGTTCCATTTACCAAGGGGGCCATTGGGGCCAACGGAGCCCAGCCATGTTGATCGCATCTACTCGAGAGGCTGCCTATGTGGGGGCGGCGGCTCACGTGTTTTTTTGAGGGGAAGGGTGGCCTCTTTGGGGTTGGCTCAGGGGCAGCTAAAAGGGAGACCGCTATGTTTTGGCACTCGATTTTGACACTGATTCTTTGTGTCACAGTGGGTGAACAACCAGAATGCTTGGAAGTCCAACGCTCACCTTGTCACCCCGGTGGCAATAAAACCTCGTGCCTGTTTGTTGTGTAAGGGCCCGTCCCTTGACTTGTTTCAAGCAGGCCCGGAAACAGCGTAGTCTCGTAACTGTTGCTGGGGAAAAAACACGGTGAACAGTTGTGACTTTTGAGCTGGAGCGGCCAAAGTGAGCTTTGTATACAACACGCGTACTGAACATCTGTGACCTCTCTTTCTCTCTGTCTCTCTCTCTCTCTCTCTCTCTCTCTCTCTCTCTCTCTCTCTCTCTCTCTCTCTCTCTCTCTCGCTCTCTCTCTCCCTCTCTCGACGCGCAGCAATTTGTACGAGAGTGCACGTGCATCAAATTGCACGAGCCAACTTGCAAGATGTCTGTAAACCGAGCCTTTTACTTCAGAGCAGGTGGGACCAAACCTGCTCTGCAAGAATGATATCCTCTGCGTGGATCCGCGTGGTCGAGGTTCAAGCAACTCGAGGTTTTTGCTACCTTTTTGACATGCCCGCACGATGCTCTGCGGAGAGCGGTGTGGTCGAGGTTCAAAAACTCGACTTTTTGCCATTGTTTTGCGATTCCTGTGTGACCCTCTGCGGAGATCGGCGTGGTCAAGGTTCAAAGACTCCAGGCTGATGCTTGTTTCTGCGGTGCACGCGCGACCCTTTGCGTGGGTTGGCGTGGTGGTCAAAAGCTCGAGGTTTTCCCTGGGTGCTTTATGAGTCGGGGATTTTTTTTTATCCCGCTCCTTGGGCAAGCAAGCAAGCAAGCCAGCCAGCCCAGCCCAGCCCAGCCCAGCCCAGACCAGCCCAGCCCCTTCCTTCCTTCCTTCCTTCCTTCCTTCCTTCCTTCCTTCCTTCCTTCCTTCCTTCCTTCCTTCCTTCCTTCCTCCCTTCTTCCCTTCTTCCCTTCTTCCCTTCTTCCCTTCTTCCCTTCTTCCATCTTTCCTCCGTTCAACCTTTCCTTCTGTCCTTCCTTCCATTTTCTTTGTTCTTTCTTTCTTTCTTTCTTTCTTTCTTTCTTTCTTTCTTTCTTTCCGTCTTTCTTTCTTTCTTTCTTTCCGTCTTTCTTTCTTTCTTTCTTTCTTTCTTTCTTTCTTTCCGTCTTTCTTTCTTTCTTTCCGTCTTTCTTTTTTTCTTTCTTTCTTTCTTCCTTCCTTCCTTCCTACCTTTCTTTCTTTCTCGTCCTGTTTCTCTTTCTCTCCGTCTCTCTTTCTCTTCTTCGCTCGCTTGCTTCTTGCTTGCTTGCTTCCTTGCTTGCTTGCTTGCTTGCTTGCTTGCTTGCTTGCTTGCTTCCTTGCTTCCTTGCTTCCTTGCTTCCTTGCTTCCTTGCTTCCTTGCTTCCTTGCTTCCTTGCTTCCTTGCTTCCTTGCTTCCTTGCTTCCTTGCTTCCTTGCTTCCTTGCTTCCTTGCTTGCTTCCTTGCTTCCTTGCTTCCTTCCTTGCTTCCTTCCTTCCTTCCTTCCTTCCTTCCTTCCTTCCTTCCTTCCTTCCTTCCTTCCTTCCTTCCTTCCTTCCTTCTTCCCTTCTTCCCTTCTTCCCTTCTTCCATCTTTCCTCCGTCCAACCTTTCCTTCTGTCCTTCCTTCCACTTTTCTTTGTCCTTTCTTTCTTTCTTTCTTTCTTTCTTTCTTTCTTTCTTTCTTTCTTTCTTTCTTTCTTTCCGTCTTTCTTTCTTTCTTTCTTTCTTTCCGTCTTTCTTTTTTTCTTTCTTTCTTTCTTTCTTCCTTCCTTCCTTCCTGCCTTTCTTTCTTTCTCGTCCTGTTTCTATTTCTCTCCGTCTCTCTTTCTCTTCTTCGCTCGTTCTCCGTTTCTTGCTTGCTTGCTTGCTTGCTTGCTTGCTTGCTTGCTTGCTTGCTTGCTTGCTTGCTTGCTTGCTTGCTTGCTTGCTTGCTTGCTTCTTCCTTGCTTCCTTGCTTGCTTGCTTCCTTGCTTCTTGCTTCCTTGCTTCCTTGCTTCCTTGCTTCCTTGCTTCCTTGCTTCCTTGCTTCCTTTGCTTCCTTGCTTCCTTGCTTCCTTGCTTCCTTGCTTCCTTGCTTCCTTGCTTCCTTGCTTCCTTGCTTCCTTGCTTCCTTGCTTCCTTGCTTGCTTGCTTGCTTGCCCCTTCCTTGCTTCCTTGCTTCCTTGCTTCCTTGCTTCCTTGCTTCCTTGCTTCCTTGCTTCCTTGCTTCCTTGCTTCCTTGCTTCCTTGCTTCCTTGCTTCCTTGCTTCCTTGCTTCCTTGCTTCCTTGCTTCCTTGCTTCCTTGCTTCCTTGCTTCCTTGCTTCCTTGCTTCCTTGCTTCCTTGCTTCCTTGCTTCCTTGCTTCCTCCTTCCTTCCTTCCCTCCCTCCCTCCCTCCCTCTTTTGCTCCTTCCTTCTTGTGTTTTTGTTGCCTCCCTCCCTCCCTTCCTCCTTCCTTCTTGTGTTTTTGTTGCCTCCCTCCCTCCTTCCCTCCCTCCCGCCCCTCCAGGCGATGGCTGTTGTCAGACGTGACGGGGCAGACACGTTCAATACGTGTTTTATCTTCCACGTCGCGCTGCGTGTGTCTCCGCATTGGCTGCCCGACTGCTTGAAGGTGATGCTCAAGGTCTGTCGACAGGCGCGGAACTTCCATGTTTTATGACCCCAAACTGGGCTTAAACCCTCCCAGCAATTGTTGATGTAACAAAAGACAAATCCCTGGGTCTAGGTCTACCTTGAGGTGTTGCCAAATTCGATCATGTTCCAGGGGTTTCTACGCATTTTTTGGGGCAGGTTTGCAAGGAGCTTCCTTTGGGTGAGGTGATATCAAAAGAGGGCATCTACAGAACGGGACTTGGCTTCACGGCTGGTCATGTTCTCTGAACCGGTCAGTTTGGTTTGATGATCATTCGCTGTGTGTGTGTGTGTGTGTGTGTGTGTGTGTGTTTGTGCGTATGTTCGTCTGAGTCGGTGTTTGTGTTTGTATCTGTATCTGCGCGTATGTTTCGTCTCGCGGCGTGTGCTTGCGTGTGGTAATGGAGGTTGTTGCGAGTGTTAGCGTGAATTTTGAGCATCGATCTGCGCAACTCAATTGCATGTTTCCGGGGCCAGTGCTTTCATGGATTGTCAGCAAGTCGAGGTGCCGAGGAAGCGCAAACAAAAGAAAGCAAAGTCAATTGAAGACACGAGGCAATTGTTTTTCAGGTCAAGCGCGAGAGGAATCTCTTGACACTGCACACGCTCATTGAACATGAGAAGCAAGCATGTTGATCACAACAAACAACACAAATAGATGTGTCCAGAGCTTGGCTCGGAAACCAACGCAGAACCGAGCCGCGGACAACGCCCACCTTTGGTGTGCTTTCAAAGTGCTTTCTTTGGGCCCACGAAAAAGTACAAGCTCGAGTTATTAAAATTGAAGTTGCTTTTGGGCCCGCAGTTTCCCTTGGAACCACCATTTGGCTTGGCATTTGCTTTTTCGCCATTTGCTTGACTGTTCCTCACGCCCATGGTTCAGCTGAAGAGCTCCATCATAGAAGGGTTTTCTTGCTGGTGCGATAGGTAGGGTATGACCGAGTCGTGGTGTTGGGAATGAAGTCGGGATTCCCATATATAAAGGAAACCACATCAGGGATGATCGGTTGGTAGGGGTCGTTGTTTCATCTCATGACCCTTGGTTTCCGCTGTCGCCCATGGTTCTGCCGAAGAGCTCCATCACAGAAGGGTTTTTTTCCACTGTCAGGAGGCCTTCCCTTTTGATGACCCCTGCTTCTATCGCTGTCAGGAGGTGCTGAGGTTTCAGAACCGTCCCAAGATCCAAGAGCTCCGGGCGCTGAACCGCGACTTCTACGTAGTGCTCACCTTCCGGCACTTCAAGCGGGGGCCCCCACTGCTGCCCTGCGAGCAAAACGAGCCGCCCGAGGCGCGCGCGGGCCGAGGTGGGAAGATGTGGCAGTGGTTGTCAAAACCGTTTTGGGATCCCATTTTGGTTGGTAGGTGAATTCACCACCCATTTTAGAACCTATTGGGGATTGGGATGTTCACTGGGGGTACGATTTGGATTTTGACCCAGGGCCATGTTGGGGCTTTTGTTCCCATTTTTGCTGGGAGACCTCTGAACACTCGATTTCCTGGACCTGGGGTGGGATCAAGGAGTTTATCCCCACTTCTGTGGTGCAAGGGAATCGGGACCCTCTTTATATGTGGGGGGTTAGTCTTTGGGAAGCCCTTCTTGTTGTATCGAAGAAGTGGATTCCATTTTCGGCTTCACTGGTTTTTTGAGCGACGCCTTTGGGTCAAACAACTTCCCGAGCGGGAGACTCTCAAGCTACCTTCAATGATGCGTTGCCCCCAACATGATGGTGTGATTTCTCCTCTATCCAGGTCACCATTTTGGGGTGGTTTTTGGCAAGAGGGACATACAAACGCGGCATATTCCCGGGAGCCGGGTTGGGACCGAATCGGGTCTCTCACTTCTTGAGGAGGACGCTACCACGTTTTGGGGACCATTTTGATTACTGGCAAGCAACAAGTTCGGCGGTTTGGCCAATCCTCAAGGGACCAACTTGCGATCGGCGCAATAAGCAGGGAATGTGGTTAAATGAGCCCAGGCTTCGGTCCCTTAAAGGGCACCAAAATGGAACCGGATGGTCTTTTAATGGGTCATTCGATTTTTCATTCCCTTCTTATCGCAGCGATCGCAAGTTGCGGGTTTGTGTCGAAAGTAGGGTACCCCCAAAATGGTGGGTTTCCTCCTGTTTTCCCAAAAAAATCGTGGGTTTCCTCGTGGGTTTCCAGTTGTCTTCCCCAAAAAATCGCGGGTTTCCTGTTGTTTTCCCCCCCTTTAAACCCGAAAATCGCCGTTTTTTGGGCCAACTTGGAAGGTCACCTTGAAGGAGGAGTCCCAGCAAAGCCGCTGGACTAGGCATTGCGGTGGCGGCTTCCTCGCGGTGAGCGGCGCGGCTGGAGGGGTTGTTTTTTGTGTGGCGGCTCTCCCCTTTATTTGGCGGTGGCTCAAAATTAAGCAACTGGGGCGGGTTTTCGTCTACCTGTCCATGTACCAGGGTTGCATTTTGGACCCCCATTTTTGAGCCGCACCAAATAGTGGTGGCCCAAAAAGGTGTACACTTCTTTTGGGCTGGTCACTAGCCAAGTGAGTCTTCAAACCGGCTGGAGGGGTGGTCAGGGAATTGTTGTTTGCCCCGTAGTGAACCATCTATCTGCTGGTTTCCCATAAGCGCAGCGCATGGCGGTTTTCTAGGGGACCCGTTTCAAACGGATCGCTTCCAGCCTAAGCATTCCCATGCGACTGGGAAAAGGTGAAATCCAGATCCCGAGAAGCCGAAGGGGGAGACACCCTCGGAAGGTGGCAAATCGATTTCCTATTTAAAACTAGGTCCCCCAGCGTGCTTTTGTCTTTTTCCCTTCTTTGGGGGAGGGTTCCCCTACTAAAATAGACTACAGAAAGAAAATAGGGAATTCTTATTCTAAGCTCTCTAGCCCCGCGGTTCGGGGCTACCGGGATGACCTGCTTCCGCCCAGCGACAGCTCACTCTGAGTCCTGGCCGAGCTCCACACGAGCAACCCAAACCTTGGCCTAGAACTCCAAGCGGAGTTCCCCTCATGTGGGTGTGGCTCAAAACCAATGGGATCCCATTTTGGTTGGTAGGTGAATTCACCACCCATTTGAGAACCTATTGGGGATTGGGATGTTCACTGGGGGTGCGGGATTTTGACCCATGGCCATGTGTATCGGGGGAAAGGACACTGTTTACCTGACTCATAGGACTCACAGCTAACGGTCGCCCAAAAACCAGCAAACCCCCGCACCGCGTTTTCGGATCGACCATCAAAACTGGTTGCGCTCTCTTTTTCGCGGGTTCACATGCGTAACTAGTAACCCACCCCTGAAAAGCTCCTTTGAGTCGTATGACAAATTGGTGCTGCGACAAGAGCAACTCGCCTGCATGGTGTGATTCAACCCGCTTGAACATGGGTCAAACCACTAGTTCTCCCATATTCTGCGCGATGGGTGAAGCTTTGTTGGCTTCTCTGCAAAGGAATTGCAAAAGGGGGGGTCTCCGCCTCCAACAGTCATGATTCCCCACTAAACCCACGGGCACGCGCTATTAATAAACTGGTTGATCAAAATGGGATCCCCCCATTAAGCCTTGTTGGTTTCTCTAAAAAACAATGTTGTACATTTAACATATTTACCAATTTTTATATTGCACACATTTCGATAAACATATGGCCGTGGGACAAAAAGAGGTACCCCATATGGAACCCAGGTAGATGGAAACATGGACCAACACCTGCGGTCCATATCCCGGTGGTGTATTTTTTGACCCAGACCCACGTGATTGTTTTACCCAGAGGCTCCCGATGTGTTTAGGGCCCTCAAATAGCCAGGTTTTGTGACCTCCAAACACCTCGGGGTGTCTATTGGAGGGGTCGGGTCTTCCATTGAAAGCCGAAGCCAGGAGCCTCTGGGAAGTAAAAGGAACGCCTCGGTTGACCCATAAAAGGCCTGGTGGTTAATTTTTTGACCCATACCCATAAAAGGCCTGGTAGTTTATTTTTTGACCCACACCCACGTTATTGTTTTAGTAAAAGGAGCTCCTCGGTTTCCCCATGCAGTTGGCTTCGCTTTGTCTTTCGGGAGCGTCCCAGGCTACTTGCAGAAGTTCCTGGCACGCCTGGGCCTGACAGGTCAAGTCTTCGACTCTTTGGATGGGCAGACACCTGGGCGCAGCAGACGCTACCTCCCCCCGCACCCCAAAAAAAAGGAGTAAAACAAAGCAAACAAACGAAGCAAACAATAACGAAACACGCCACCTCCGAAAGAAACTTGCTTTGTCAGTGTATACATATGCATAATATATGACTCCCCACGGTTGCGGCTTCACCTTTTGCAGTGAAGCCCCTTTAAAGTCGACTGTGCAAACGGGGGGCCCACGTTTCCACATGGGCATCCAGTGGAGCCCTGGACGTCGGAGGCCATTTCTGAAATGGCCTAGTACCCCTCGGCCATTTTAAGAAAATGCTCGGCCATTTGTGGGTCTTCACCAACGGTCTATTAAGGAACATCAAACGGCCAATTCTGAAATGGCTCTTAGGTATGGCATTGCTTTGCGATTCAGTGTGCTCCAGTGGGTTGGGGTTGCCTTTTGAAGGTCTTGGCCAATAGCTCTGACAGCTTTTCAGCAAAGCAAACTACATTTTTACAAACCCTGGGCGTCCTCGCCCATGTCTGAAAAGGCCTAGGTACCCTCGACCACTCCAAGAAAACGCTGGACCATTTTAGGGTCCTTACAAACGTCTGTTTAAAATTCGTCGAGCGGCATTTTCCGAAATGGCTGTTGTCATGGCCCGGCAGCCAGGAGCCTTGTGTGTTATGTGAGCTTGGTCGGCTTAACGCTCGCTCTTACGTGTGCGTGTTGGCGCAATGGGCGTCTTTGGCGCAATGGGCGTCTTACAGCAGTCTCGGAGAAGCTGGAGCGTGGACAAAGCGTGGGCAAAGCGTGGAAGAGCCATTTGTGGGCGTGGAAAAGCCATTTCTGGGAGTGGAACATCCATTTAGGGGAGTGGACAAACCGTGGACATCCCGCCGAATGCCACCTCAGCCTGAAAGGCATGCAAGTTAAAGTGGCGGAGCTGAAGTCTACAGAGCTCAACTGCGCGACCTTTTCAAAGACAAAAGGCGATTCCAAACGAGCCTAGCTTGAACACGGGCTTGCGTGATGGCTGGACTACGGCCGCGGTAGCTTATTGGCTAACATCGAGCTCCACAAATGGTTGTCCAAAGCTACTGAAAACGCGGGTTTTTCTTTTTTAGGTCCTTCGACAAACAGCCAGTCAAAGGAATTTGGAAGTTCAGGGAGTCAAATTCTGACTTGGCTAATGTGAGCTTGGGGCCTATATGATTGCCAGCTTTGTGTGGGGGGGGGGTCTTGCTTATTGGCCAACATGGTAGTCCAGAAATGTGGTCTTACTTATTGGCCAACATGGGAATCCAGAAATGGCTCTTCGGAACCAGTGAAAACATGCATTCTTGCCACAAATGGCTCTTCGACAAACGGCCGTTTCTGAAAAGGCCTTTTGAATTCCAGAGGGAGGGATCCTTTCCAGGAAACCGCCAAATAAAAATTCGGGATCAACCCCGAACACGCAAGCTCGGCTGATTCCCCGATCTGATTGGGAGCAATCAAAATACGAAGCCGGTTGGGTCGGGGACAGCAAACCTGTTGGTTTTCCCTTTACCCACTTTTGGCCCCAAAGATCACCCTTTTCTTTTTTCCAGGGTGGCTGACAGACGGCGTCTTTCCCGGGCTGGGGTTAAACATCCCCGAAATTCGAAGGCCTGCCCGTTTTTTCGGGCGGCTCGAAAGCAGAGGACTAGGGTTTGTCTCAACGTGGGGGGAACGGCGACCCGCACATTTTTTGCGGTGTCCTTCAAAAACGAACCAAAAGCGGCCTCCCTAAGAAGAGAGAAAGACTCATTTCCTTGCATCACTTTCATTAGGGGCCCCTCGATGGGTTTTTGAACAGCAACCCTAGTTGTTGCGCATTCCAAGATGCTTCGTGCATGCTTTTGGGGGACAGGCCAAAATTGGAATATGTAACCATATGTATCCTTTTTAGGAGATGTTGGTTAACCATAGTCGGCACTGGTCTCAGTTTGGCCCTAATCTACCATCGATTTGTTCAAACCGGGCAACTACCCACCTGCTTGATTTGTTTTTTGGGGGTGGGCGGACGCAGTTGTTTCGACCACCAACCTCTGCAGTCGAGGAAGCTGGTGCCTTACCAGTGTGTGGTTTTGCGGGCCGAGTGGCAACACCTCCGCGGGGAGGCGCGGAATCTTCTTGGCCCACGGCTGTTGCTATTTCAGAACGTTTCGTAGTAGTTTGGTGTAGATTTTTTGTTGAAGGTTTGCCAAACTTGTTTGGAAGGTGTGAACAGGACCACCTTTCTGGCCCGGCAACCAGGGACGTATCTGTGTACATCAGCGTTCCAGTTGTTTGACTTCCCCAAGATAGACGTCCCAGGGGTAGCGAAGTAGCCTAGTTCCTCACAAGGAGAACGCGTGGGTTTAAGCTTACCCTGGCCGGCAACGAAAGAACGGGTATCATGTTTCTTGGTGGCTCCCAGCCATCCAACTTCCTTAGCTTTTTTGCTTCTTCAGGTTTAAGTGGGGATTTCCATTTAACCCACGAAAAGTTGTTCCATCACTAAAGGTTCTTCCAGTTAATCCACTAGAAGCTAAACTTTTCGCAGGGGACCTGAGGGCAGGTTTGTAAGGCTGGCCTTTTCTGGTTTTGAAAAGGGGACACCAACCTGAACACCGTGATTTGTGGGCATGCCCCGTATTTTAACATGCGCGCGAGTGGTTTTCCACAATGGGCAGAAACGAGGCCTCGCTCGTTCTCTCTTCCTGGAAGCCGAGGCATGCTGTTTTTTAAATCAAAGGGACCCTGGTCAAAAATTACGACCCCAGCTCCCCAAAAGGAAGTTTCAAGGAGACAGTTGCTGTAAAGGGGAAGCCACGAGCGGAAAAAAAGAACCACGACGCTTGGACTGGCCTCATGATTTTCCCTTTCTCAAAGTCACCCCTAAAGTGATGAGATGAAGGAAATAACCCCAGTTTCTGACTTGGATAACCCCAGAAACAGTCATTGTGACCACCGCGGCCTTCGGCGCCATGCGCAGGTCCTGCGGCAGTTCCGGGCGCAGAAATCGGCCTACCGGAAGCTCAACGGAGGCCCTACGGCGCCCGACCTGCGCGAGGGGCTGATGCCCAACTTTCAGGCGGGGGTGCGGACACCGCCAAGCAGCTTTGGCGGGTGTCCATTTTTTCCTTGGTGGCAAGGGAAAGCCGTGCGGTTCCTTGGCTTTTTAGACCTTTTTAGATCTTTTTGGTTGGTTTGGTGGGGGGGAGCTTGCCTTTGACCTACTCAAAGTCAAACTTTTGGGGGATCTGAGTTTCCCTTCAAAACCAACAGGGAACTTACATGAACTTACAAAAACCACACGCACCCACACCATTTGCTCAAGATGTTCTATTTGGCCCTGGTAGTTTTGACTTCAGTAAATGAAGGTTGTGGCAGCATGTTGAGGGCTTCTCCCAAAAAAGGTAAGTTTTGGGTGGTCTCACGAAAAGAGCCACCGTTTAGGGGGCAATATTGGGATGTCGCTTCTCAACTGCCCCTTAAAGTGTTGCACGTTGAGGGTGGTTTCAGCATTGCATTTTTGGGAGGGTTGTTTTGGAGATCCCATGTCAATATTAGGATATGGGGAAGTGAATGCTGGGATTTTGGAGACAAATCCACTTTGAAGACAAGCCCAAAGTTTGCGGAACCATTTGGTTCACATTTCTCATGTTTGGAGAACTATACTGTGGACCGATAAAATCCGGCACCAGTTGGGGTGGATGCAGCCCTGTGAACACCGTGACAAAACACCTATCAACTGTTGCCTTGTGTGGATTTTGTCCATCCGCAGTAGAACAAGCACACGACTAAACTAACCCGTTTGCCCTAGGAATCCCCCCCTTTCGGCTTCCTTCGTTTCCCTTTGGTAAGGTCTCGTAGGGTCTAAGTAAGTCTGGCCTGATCTTGTCAGGCTGGAGACCAGCCGGCTCCGGAGCCTCGGCTTCGAAACCCCCTGGGTTTTGTGTGGTATGTGAGTGAAACTGGTCGTTTGTTTCGAAACTGATATGGGCCCCAGGTCTTTCGTAGCTGTTTGCATTGACCCGGGTTCCATTTTGGGTATCTATTCTTGATTTATACCCATGTGAGCATCAACCGTATCTCAGGGAAACGTGGGGCTAAACTGGCCGACAGTCTGAGCCTGAAATGGCAAACGGGCACGTTTCCGTGCTTCTTATTCTTTACATAGCTTTAGACTACTTTCCCACCAGATGTGTATAAACGACGCAAGATGGAACAAACAAGGCATCCTTTGAAATTGCTAGGAGTCAATTCCTTTGAAGCTGGTTCAACAAAATGTTCGCAGTCGGTTTCCGTGAAACATCCATGAAAAACATGTTTGCCTTGAACGGGTTTGGCTTCCTGCAGCCATGGAGGTTTGGCGGCGGTGACTTCCAAGCGATGTTGACGTTGGCATTGGCTTCTGTAAGCTCCCTTGAAAGCTCCCTGCGAGTTTGGCCGGTTCGCAACCGGGACAATTGGGCCGGTTCCTTGGAAGTTCCTTGACATTGATTTCGTGAAAGGTCCCTGAATGTTGGCCTACATTTCTTCAGTGTGTTGTTTCTGGTTTCAGGCTTGAAGAAGTTGTCACGCTAGTCACCCTGCCCAGTATCTGAACGAGTCTGACTTACTGAACCATTTCTGGTTGGATGCCCTGGAACAACTTGGGTACCCAATCCCCAAGCCAAAGGCAAACAGCTCCGGCTTTTGGAAACAATTCATTTCCTTTGCGACTGAAGCCACCGGATTCCCCCGCGGAGGTATACGAGGCACGCTGGTTGGTTCTCAGGGCACGAGAATTTGAACCCCGAAGAGAAACAAAAAGAAAAAAACCAAAACCCATATAAGGGAATCCCTGTAGCTTTGGCGCATTTTGCCAAGGGATGTTAGGATTTTAAACTTTTTCCAACTAACGGGTTTTCCGTATGAATCCACTAAAAGCTCTTCACTTTTAGCTGGGGAGGTAGGTGAAAGCAAGCGAGGTAGGTTCATCAGGCTTCGCTTTCGGTCCTACCGAGCACCAAGCTTTTTTCATGGCGGGGAGAGGGGTATGGGTCAAAATTTTCAACCACCAGGATATGGACCGCAGGTTAAATCGTCCAAGCCATTTACCAGGGCAATCCATTTTGGGGTTACCAACTATTTTTGACCCACAGCCATGGTTTTCCCCTTTTAACCCTTCTGAAGGATACAGCATAGGCATAGTTTCCCGATTTGGTCAACACGTAGTAACCGCACTGTTCCTTCTTCACAGACTTGCATGATGTGTAAGAGCAATCTAGCCTCCATACCCCCCCCCCCCACCCAAAAAAAGAAGAGAGAGGCAATTTTAGTAGATGGTTCTACTACCTGGATGGAGTTCTTTGTAAGGTCGATGTATTATACAAACCTGTAAAGCCATGTTGGTAGACGCCAGAGTCCATAAGGTTGGTGGCGGAGTTTAAAGAGATTGACCCACGAGTGTCGGGGGAGGATCCCAAAAAGCCCGATGAGCTCACCGATGAACAAGTTCACTATGTTGGCCGTCAGGATATCGACCTTCGTTTGGAACACCTAGTATCCCCCGCAAAGCCAGCAATCTCCTATGAAGACATGTGCAATATATATATATATACATTTGTAAATATTACGGATGTATGTGTTTGCCTAGACAATCGATCTCGTATTGAGATGGTCAAATGGTTTCTTCATACCATACAAGCCATGGGTTTTCAAGCACTTGGAGCAAACAAGTGTCATGGCTGAGACACTCGGGTTTGGTCGATTCAACCATGAGCAGCTTCAAACGGCCTTTTTTGGCTAAGCCAGCCATCCGTTCGTCCACACCAGTTTTGCAAGAGGTTGTCGACGCGGTCCTTGTTGTCCCTTGCCCGAGGACTACATTGTGCGATGCAAACCCCGGCTATTTGTGCGGCATACCTTCATTGACGTGAACGATTCCGAATGCTCCGACATGGAAATGACCCGCTCGGCCTCGTACAAGTGAGCACAAGTGACAGGCGTGCGCTTCCCCTTTTTGTGTGATAATTAGCACAGACCCCCAGAAGTCTTTATTGCAGATCTGCGGGCCAATGTAGCTGCCAAGTGTGCGGTAAAGTCGGCGGACGCAAAGGGATGAGCAACTGCCAGCAGTCAGCCATATTCTGAGCAAGGTGATGACATGAGGCACACATTTGACTGTAGATTACCAATACGCAGCATCATCGGGGCGCACTATGAATATTGACCGTTGCTCACCTCCCTAACCCGTCAGCTAATTCCATCGTCGAGTGTAAGCTGGCTTGCGGTTCTACCCACGCTAGACCCCACCAGCATCTCCGACGGATGCACATGAGTTACTTTCCTGGCATCAGGAAAAGTGGTTTCCGACTTTCCTGCAAGGAACCGCTTTGTACAGGCACGCTGCGGCGTGGCCACATGGACTTGTACAGGGGTTCCATCCATGTGAGGCATACAAGATGCCTGCAGGAAGGAAGGAGTTGCGACCGAAACACGCAACGGCCCACTCGTGCCGATGTTTCTATCTGTACTTGCGGTGGGGAGGACAAATTTTCGTTGCAAACAGGTCTTTACCGTTTTGGCCCATCGAGAGTGATGGAAGTTGAAGGCCGGTGTGAAGACATCAACGTCCGGAAGGCGTGGCTTTGACAATCCCAGATCTGCCTTAAAGGGACAGCAGAAGAAACCCAAGTGCTCTTGGTCCATGATATTGAAACATCTCCAACTGTTTGGTTTGTTGTTTGCTTGTTTGCTTCTTTGGCTTGGCTTGGCTTGGCTTGGCTTGGCGTTCTTGCTTGCTTGCTTGCTTGCTTGCTTGCTTGCTTGCTTGCTTGCTTGCTTGCTTGCTTGCTTGCTTGCTTGCTTGCTTGCTTGCTTGCTTGCTTGCTTGCTTGCTTCCTTTCCTGCTTGTTTGTTTGCTTGCTTGCTTGTTTGTTGCCTTGTTTGGTTGTTCGTTTGTTTGATTGTTTTGTTTACTGGCTTACTTGCTTGCTTGCTTGCTTGCTTGCTTGCTTGCTTGCTTGCTTGATTGATTGTTTTATTTGCTTGCTTGCTTCCTTTCCTGCTTGTTTGCTTGTTTGTTTGCTTGTTTGTTTTGTTTGCTTGCTTGCTTGGCTTGGCTTGGCTTGGCCTGGCCTGGCCTGGCCTGGCTTGGCTTGGCTTGGCTTGGCTTTCTTGCTTGCTTGCTTTCTTGCTTGCTTGCTTCCTTTCCTGCTTGTTTGTTTGCTTGCTTGTTTGGTTGTTCGTTTGTTTTGTTTGTGTTGTTTGCTTGCTTGTTTTGTTTGTTTGCTTGCTTGCTTCCTTTCCTGCTTGTTTGTTTGTTGGCTGGGCTGGGCTTGGCTTGGCTTGGCTTGGCTTTCTTGCTTGCTTGCGGACTTGCTTGCTTGCTTGCTTTCCTGCTTGTTTGTTTGCTTGCTTGTTTGTTTGCTTGTTTGGTTTTTCGTTTTTGTTTGCTTGTTTGCTTGCTTGCTTGCTTGCTTGCTCGTTTGCTTGTTTGTCTTGTTTGCTTGCTTGCTTCCTTTCCTGCTTGTTTGTTTGTTTGCTTGCTTGTTTGTTTGCTTGTTTGTTTGTTTTGATTGTTTTGATTGTTTTTTGTTTGCTTGCTTGCTTGCTTGTTTTGCTTGCTTCCTTTCCTGCTTGTTTGTTTGCTTGTTTGTTTGCTTGCTTGCTTGCTTGCTTCGTTTCCTGCTTCTTTGTTTGCTTGCTTGCTTGCTTCCTTTCCTGCTTCTTTGTTTGCTTGCTTGTTTGTTTCGTGGTTTTGGTTTGGTTAGTTTTGTTTGCTTGTTTGGTTATTTTGCAGCCACATCGCCTTCAGAGGGATCCAACCAGCCTGAAACCACCGTTTCACATGTTGCCTGTGGGGGGCTTGTCAAGACTATGGTCTGTTTTTGGACCCTGGGCTGGCCTTTTTTGAGAGAACATCAGCCTGAATTTGGCTTTTGAGATAACATACCCAAATGGGCCCTAGTTTTGACCCCTTTTTCTTCGTCCGCAGCACGGCTCCGACTTCCGACGGCATGTTTTGCAGGTGTGAGAGCGTGAACTGGGCCGATGTGCGCAAGGAGATCGTGAAGATTCTGGATGATGACAAGTACAAGGAGCGATATGTCAAATGGGGGGGGGGTCTCAAAGTGCTGAAGGGAGATAGGCAGTTTTAAGTTTCCTTCCAAACACCTTACCGAACAGATAAACTGTTGCATAATGTTGACCTATGATTAATACATAGGGCCCCCCCCCATCTGAAGACACACCCACGATGTTTTTAGGATTCCATGGTTGGGCCTTGTTTAAAGGGAGGCGAACAGGACACCACTTTCTTTTGGTTTTCGCATACTACATTAGAATTGGGCCAATTCAAAGTATCTGTTTGAGCCAACACAAGGCACTGTTCGACTTTGGGGGAATACTAAGTTAGAGACTTTGGGCCAATTCTAAAGGAGTATGAGCCAAGAACTTTTTCGCATGCATTCTAGGAGGGATTGAGAAGGACATTCATGAGGGTTTGAGGCATGTATTCCAAGAGGGATTGAGAAGGACATTCATGAGGGTTTGCATGGTCAGGCATGTATTCCAAGAGGGATTGAGAAGGAAATTCATGAGGGTTTGCATGGGCAGGCATGCATTCTAGGAGGGATTGAGAAGGACAGTCATGAGGGGTTGCATGGGCAGGCATGTATTCCAAGAGGGATTGAGAAGGACATTCATGAGGGTTTGCATGGGCAGGCATGTATTCCAAGAGGGATTGGGAAGGAAATTCATGAGGGTTTGCATGGGCTGGCATGCATTCTAGGAGGGATTGAGAAGGACATTCATGAGGGTTTGAGGCATGTATTCCAAGAGGGATTGAGAAGGACATTCATGAGGGTTTGCAGGGGCTGGATGTATTCCAAGAGGGATTGAGAAGGACATTCATGAGGGTTTGCATGGGCAGGCATGCATTCTAGGAGGGATTGAGAAGGACATTCATGAGGGTTTGCATGGGCAGGCATGTATTCCAAGAGGGATTGAGAAGGACATTCATGAGGGTTTGCAGGGGCTGGTTGTATTCCAAGAGGGATTGAGAAGGACATTCATGAGGGTTTGCATGGGCAGGCATGCATTCTAGGAGGGATTGAGAAGGACATTCATGAGGGTTTGCATGGGCAGGCATGTGTTCCAAGAGGGATTGAGAAGGACATTCATGAGGGTTTGCATGGATTCAGCATGACATTTACAAGGGGAGGCATGGGTTTGCAGGCATTTCAGCAAGGGTTCAGTGAGCATTAGCTTGGCCAGCATTGCAGCCATGTCATCAGTGAGTGAGAATTCATGGCATGAACTTCATGAGTCAGATTTAGATTCAGGGCATGATGCAGATACAGAGCAGGCTGGGCAGGAGGATGCAGAGCAGGAGGATGAGAATGCAGCAGTTGATGAGGGTGCATCAGTCCAGCGTTATTGGGCCAACCAGTACACTGCATTAGTGGGCATGTCAAGGAGAATCAGGCATCATGTTGAAGTGCTTAATCTGATTGGTCAGTATTTGGGCATTGATGTTGCAGACACATACTGGTGCCTGCATTATGCAGGCAGTGTGTATCAGTTTGTCCAGCTGGAGAACCCTGCATATTCAGATGCATGGTGCATCTGGGGCTGGGTGATTGAGTATGCAGCAAAAGGCAGCTACTATTTTGTGGGTGATGAGATCAAGGAGCTTGAATGTCATGTTGGAGATGTGCCATCAGAACTTGCATCATCAAGCTCAGCACCAGCAGGATCAGACTCAGCACCATCAGGCTCAGGATTAAATTCAGATGCATCAACCACATCCTGTCAATTCCCTCAGCATCCTCATGAGATCAGGTTTGTAGATTAGTTAGGCTCAGTGCAATGGAGGCAAGTGTATGAGAGAAAAAGGGTTATGGTGGTGTGTGGTGGGTGGTGTGTGGTGGGTGGTGTGTGGTGGGTGGTGGGTTGGTGGTGCCAGCACCATTCCCTTTCAGCCCTGGCCAAGCCCTGCTAGGATCAGATCTTCATCAGGTGCTGCATCCAAAGAAGGATGATGAGGCAAAGAAGCCAATTGGAGAAGGGAAGGATGAGGAAAAGAAAGATGAGTAAGCAATGAGTAGCTGCAACCCAGTGTTCTTAGCAGTTGGCATCAGGATTGAGTTGGAAAACATGAAGGTGCATGCGCTGTCATGAGTGGCATGGGGGCAGTGAGCATGGATTCACTTGGCATCATGTGCATCCAGCATGTGCATGAGCCATTCAATCATCAGCAGCCTTTTGCACCATCAGAGCTTGGAATCAGTTTGTATTTGGAGCCCATTAGCATGGCCATGAGCATGAAGAAGGTGATGGCATGCCTGGTTGCCATCATTGCAGTGGTATTTGGCATCATCAGTAGCTTGAATCAATTCATGGGGGACAAATTGACAATTGCTCATCACTGACAATTGTTAACTATCATGACTGAGGCCAGGGGATTGACATGGAGCACCATCAGTTGATCAATCAGGGAGTGCCTTGGCCACATGGGGCATGGCAATGCAGGGAAATTAGCATGGGTGGAGGGTGCACACAAATCAGGCGATGTACTGCTTCATGCTGTATGCATTGTGGAAGATGCATCAGTTTGTGGATCATGCAACTTGGAGTCATTAATTAGTTAAGTATGCAAATGTATTTGTTTTGCAATGGCATGCAGGTAGTCACATGAACATTGATGAACATTGTTCACTGCTCAGGCATGCAACATCAGCAACTCAGCCTGGACATGTGCAAGGAAAGCAGGGTTCATGGAGAAGCGTGCCTGTGCCAGCAATCAGATTCATGATTCATGGCATGGAGTTTGCTTGAACCAGGTGTATAGTGTGTGAATGCTTTAAATTCTTGATGAACTTCAGGCATGGACATCGCCTATGGAGGCTTCCATGATTTGCAAAGGCATGTGGCACAGGTGCTCAGAGAGCCTCTTGGCTGATGCAAGATAATTACATGAAGCATGATGATGAGCGCATGAGGTGATAAGGAACTAGTTAGTCAGATGTCATCAGCTGTTACTCAGTTAATTACTAGGCTCAGGTATGATGATCAGATGGGGGATTCTGCCATATTGGTGGGCATGATCCAGGGATTGCGCCCTACATTTGCACCAGGGATGAGCAGAACCTTGCCAGCATTAGTTTCATTAGGCAATGCTAATTATCAGCAGGCGATGCAGCAGGGCAACCATTGCAACCAGCATGGCAACACATGATTGGCTTTATTCATTCCAGCCAAGGGGATTACTATGAGGCAGAATGGGATTTGGCAATTCGTGCAGCATTGCTGGATGCAAAGCTGCAGGCCCAGCAGCTTTGAGTAACTAATGAAATGACAGTTCATGAAGCAAAATTCTAATTAAGTTGCATGATGATTGGACTTGTTGTTTTCAACTAAGGTATCAGCAGCTGATTCGCAAGGTATGTGGGATGAAGGACTATGTGGCACATGATAAAGAGCAGTTCATCAGGAAGAATGCCAACAGGAAGGAATGGCAACAGGAGCAATTCCATCCAGAGCATTGGATTAAGTAGTAAACAAATGATTACATGAGTGCTTGAAACTAGCAAGTGTTTGAGATGTGCTGAGGATCAGGATGCTGCTTCCATCATGGGCATGTGCCCCCCATGGAGCAAGCTCATCAAGGCATACCAGGCCATTGATGCCAGGATGAAGTAGTTGGTGTGCCTTGGAAGTTTCAATCCAGAATCAGCAATCAAAGAACTGTTAGCTTGTGAGTGCATGATGTGATATCCAAGTGCATCATTGATTAAGGAAGCTCTATGAGCACTACAATCAGCAAATGGATCAGTGGGAAATGGACATTCCATTGCAGCCCATGTGGTCATTCCAAAGGGAGATGACCAAGATCGACAAGATGTGCCTCAGCAAGCAAGCATTTGATGAGTTTGATGAATTATCAATCAACAGACCCAGCACGCAATCAGCAGGATACATAGTTAACAAACATCAGCTCTTGACCATCAGCAAGCA